GTTACTACAGAATAGCGAGTACAAAATAATAAAAAAAAGATAAATACTTTTTTTTCTCTAATGAATTAAAATCATAATTTCTTACGGTTTCCCGCTTTGCAAATCATGTAATCGCATTCGATATCGCGATGAATCCCATCTAGTTTCCATTTACACCTGCAGTTTGCATCGACTGCGATTGCCGAAGACGTAACAATAGCGGGGCACGAGTGTATCGAATGAGTGAAGTCGCTCGTGTATTTGTAGCGAAGGAGAATACTAACAAGGACTGCGTCTGTAACTGTGAATGCCGGATTCAACCCCCGAGTGAATGATATTCAACAGGTTTCCCAGTAGTAATCTCCAACGAGATAGAGCGGTATGGTAGTTCGAGATACAATGGAATGCCGACCGAAGTCATGTTTCATTATCGACATCCCCGATAACGGCAAAGATATTAACAGCCTGTGCCTTGCAATGTGTGCATCCCTTCCTCCCTATAAATCCTATTAAATGTCATCGCTGGTCGTTGCTAATCCGGCAACTTATTTTTCAGCGTATTCGACGTTTTTCTTCTTTTGATATTTTGCACGCGATCAATCCAGCAATTTTAATCAGTCAAATATATTATAAAAGAGACTTACATAATTGATTAAATCAATTACATAATTATCTATTCTATATTTAATGTGAACGGCGACACAACATTAATTTTTTTATTTCCATCTCCGATATAGAAGGAAGAAGTTTTATTATTTTCGAGTTCACACGGAGAGAACTTTCTCTCAGAATTTACCCTAAAAATCATGGTAATCATGAGACAATATGGTATTGGAAGAATTTTATGAGTTTCTCTGATTAATATTTACCACAATAAAAAAATATTAATAAGTACATAGTAAAATTAATCGAACATATTTTATATTTTATTGGTAGATTTATTAATATTTTAATTTTTGTAGTGTAAATATTAATCAGAGAAACTCGTACAAAATTCTCTCACAATTACCATGATTTTCAGGATAAATTCCAAGAGAAAATTTTCTCTGTGTATTAGTTTCACGTCGAATACATTTTTTTGTACTGAAAGAATGACGACGTGTCAAAGTTTGACGAAAATATTCTTGGAAACGCGACGGATATTCTTATTCTTTTCCGCAATTTTCCTGTGAAATATGGGAGACAGAAAGCTCATTCAGATCGGGCGAGGCTGCAACTCGAAAATAATTCAACAGCTGCCAGTACTGGTATCGTCGGTCGGGTGGGTAACTTAGAATTACGATGATTAATTGGACGTCAGAAACAGGGTGAGTAATTTGCGGGACAAATTCGCGGACTACGAAAACAGGTCGCCGAGTTTATAGGCGACTCGTATTTTCTTCTCTCTCTCTCTCTCGGTGTACACCAAGACTTTTCTCCCTTCTATTTCTCCCACAATTCTATATCCGGCTGTCAAGCTGTTTCCTTCCATTGGCCGTTTCTGAATAAAACATAAGTTTCGCAGAAAGTGTTTGACGAGAGTTTGAAAATACCTGTCATTTCGATTAAAATCTCTCTCTTTGAGCTTCTCACCCCGAATTTTAAAGACGGATTTTTGGTGTCTTTTAGAATAAATTGCTCTTCAATGAAATCCAGATAAAATCGAAAGGACACATGACTCCAAATCGAGAAAACTAATGATTTAAAAAAGACATTTGTTAAAAACAGTTTAATAATTCTAGATCTTACGATATACATAAATAGCAAACAAGTATTTCTGACCCTAAAACAAATTATTGTTCGAGAGTGCTCAAAATATAAGAACTTGAAAAGCCGGGTGCATAAGCTCGGCGTAAAACATCGCGCGATAAAAATGACTTGGAATGTTTAATTGCAGTGACAAACGTTTCCAAAACTTCAACTTAAAGCCGGTACTTAAACCGATTTCCGTTCCGTTTTCGGCCCCCTCTCTTACGTTATTTCGCCGACGTTTCCCTACGTTATGCACAACAGCTGCCACGGAGAGAAACTCATCTAACACGTCTTATTAGTTCACTTTTCGTTTGCTTTCAGCCAGCTAAAATGTCTCTAGGCTCCAACATATAATGTGTCGCTGAGACCATTCGCGCCTAGGAACGTCGTCGTCTTTTACCCAGTCTTTTAGCCCGTTAAACGTTAGCGTCAAGTAATCGGGGCCCTGAAACGTGCATATATTCCCTAAGTTTGTTCGCCGTGGAGTTTGACATCTCGTCCAGTTAGTTTCGCGAACGTCCATTCGCGTTTCCGCCCATTTCATCGCGGCGACGAACTGAATTTACCCGTCCGTCATTTTACATCATATCTCGTCCAGTTAAATATTCACTTTCGACGTACGTCCCGGAAACATCGACAGAGTGTTTTCATAACGCGAACGCTATTATCTCGTATTTATAAAGCCAGAGGGACACGCGACGGACGCGACTTCAGTAGTAGCGGCATCGATATATTCAAATCCATTTGTTCGATAAATCGTTGCTCCGCGGACTTTGCAGAATAGAAATGATCGAGCATAGTTACGTTGACGTAATTTTAAAATAGCATCGAGGTCGAGACGAGACTTCGGCGATCCGTTCCGCGAACGATCATCGAAGAATCGTTCATCATTCACGAGAAATTATTGTGCTAAATCGCCTTGGCCGCATAACTAAATCGGGAAATGGATGCATAGAATCCAAGGTTTTCCAAAGTGTCGCATAAATTAAGCACTCAATATTTATTAATCCGCGTCGGAAATATTCATAGCGTCGAAAAATATATATGTTGCAATATGTCACGCATGTGCGAAGTATCTCTCTGCTGAATAATTTATCGCCTAAGCAACTCTTTGTATACACGCGATATATATGTGTCTCGTATATACTGTTTACAAGTATCCATTATCTCTCGTAAATTTTTGATACAACGACGACGGCGCAGACGAAAGGCACAGTTGGCAGGACACGTACTAATTCAAAATTAGCTGCGCGGATTAAATTTCTATGGTCGTGTTGCAACAGGGTGTTCGGAAAGCGAGCATCTTCATCAAGTACTGGAGGAAACAGATCGTCGCTTTCACGAAAGCAGATCGCCGGTGAAATTTATGCTGTCACGTGCTAGTCCACGACAAAGTGGACTGCAATTTAGACGTTTCGCTTTAACGAAGCGCCGTTTCTCGTTTAAATGTGGAATCGCGGTGGCAGCTTTGTGACCGCTAATTGCGTTACAAGCGGGAAACGATTACCAAGTTTACGACGCGATCGCGTTAAGTTTCGACGTATATCTGCTTAAAGCTTTCCCCTTCATCAAGCTCTCGTCTCCCAATTTCTTTTGGTTAAAAATCTTCTCGCGGCTCATTTTTCGCGATTTTGCTCTCTTAGAGATATGCTCCTCTTTTAATAACTATTCAGAAAGTCTCAGTCTGTTTTTAATACCAACGCGTTCATCATAATTTACACTTAATGAGTCCTATACTTAATTGGGCGTAACGGCGTTGAAATGACATTTAAACTTTAGCCAAGAATTTTGCAATTTTTATCCATATATTCAAACAGTTTGCAAGCGCAAACTGTTTTGATGCTTTAAATCTATTTTTCCATAATTATATATCAATAATAAAGTCTTCTTCTAAAAATAATATGAAACATAGATTTTCTGAAACGTCTTAAACTGATATAAATAATTTCAGTCTATTAACGTCTATTTTGTCAGTTTAAATAAAAGCTCCGAGACAAGCTGACAAAAATGACACTATTATATAAACTGAAATTTATTTATATTAGTCTATTATACCAAAAGATCTCAAAATATGTCTCATACTATTATCATTTATAAAGAAAGACTACGTTATCAATTTTTCTTTTTTTATAAAAAGTATTCATAATAATTAATTTTGGAGATTCCTGATTTTTTCTGACTAAAATGATAATTCTTTTTAAAAGTTGATTTACGAAATCGCATGACACATGAGGACAACAGGAAGACGCAAATCGCGAACGCGAATATATTTATTGTTAATCGGAAGTCCGATCGCAAACCATGTCGTCAACCGTTCATTTACGCGTCTCTCGTCGTTTCTGCGTTCGAAGAGAGTTCGTTGCCAGTTCTAAAATCGTCGTCCTGACAATGACGTAGGATCGTGGCCGTTTGTTTCTCGAGGGACGAGCTGATCCTCTCTTTCGACGAGCGAAAAATCGTTCGCAATGTCGCGCAACATTGCGGAAAAAACTTCGCGACTTTCAAGCTTTCAAATTAAAATTGATCTAGATAATTCAGTGTATCAATAAATCACACCTCACGGTGGGTGTGCAAAATGATAAATAAACAATATTTGGCAAATTATTATATATGCAACGACTTTTACGCACTTGCTCGGCGAATTTTGCGTTGCATCTACGACTGCATCTTATATACTCGAGTTTCTCTGGACATTCGTGATAATAAACAGACGGAACAGTTTACTAATTCCCGCGGGCTTCTGGATAATCTATCGTCTGTATCTATAGAATAATCGAATGATCTCAATATATCCGTAGTTCGAAAATAAATTGCAGACACAATCAATATCACAGAGCAAGATAATAAATGTACTCAGTTCTTCTCTCATTCTCCCTAATCTTTATTTATAAAAGTAATTTTTCAAATCTCTCATCAAATATACGAAAAACTTTTAGCTTGAGATTAAATCGCGTTTAAATCTTCTCAGCTATTAAATTCGAGAGATTTTCTAAAATTTTTATGTTAAGAAGAAGTATTTATATATGTATTTCAGACTCTTGAAGAGCTGAGAGACTTTTGTTATATAAAAGACCTTAACTAATAAATTTTTATTTGCTTGCTGGAGATGAAACAATTTATATTTTCGCTTCTGAATGTGCTGAGCTCATCGCTCTCACACATTATCTCTCAACTATACAATCACCCTCCACGTAGGAGCGATATAAACGCCCACGCTGCGGCGCCGGCAGTTACCTCGACAGTTACGGGGATCTCGAACATCATATATGAAATTGTCGTTGACAACTTACCTCCTGGATCTTATAGCTGGTGCGGATGGTTTTGCGTCTGGTAGTGGTGATCTCGTAGGACTCCTCCACGGTGGGCGCTTCCGCATCGTTATCGCTGCTGTTGATGACACCGTCATCAGGCCTCATCATCGTCTCGTTCATCCTGACGTTCTCCGTGTCCACTTCCATCGAGAATTAAGAAATAAGCTTCCGATCACGAAGAGGTCTCGCTGCGAACGCCTATGGAACGGCAGCGACAAACACCACGGTTTGTCTACTACGCGGCCACCAGCCGCGTTCCGATTTCGACGTGCAGCGAAAAACTTTTTACAGCGCTCGACGGAACTATTCCGGGCGTCCAAGTTCCGCGCGAAACGACGAGGCTGACGGTACTAAAGCACCGCGCCACGGAAACCCCGAACAGTATCCCACGCTGCGCCTCTTTCGACGGCGAAAATAGAACCTCGTGTTCTCCCGCAGGAGCACGGTATTGACGCTACTCGTTGGTATCGTAAATTACGGATTTCAGGCATCTATCACACTCTGCGCGAACTGCAAATCGAACATAAACACAATTACATATACGATAAAAAGCAGAGCTCGTATTTAGGAATGTGAAGTAATTCATTTGTTACTTTGTGATAGAATTTCTAAGGATTAAGGATTCATATATTTCTAAGGATATGAAGAGATTCGGTATATAAGAATTTACTTGATAATTCGAAGATTAAGGAATTGAGGACCGAAGATTTCATAATCGCATATCTAATAATTCATAATTAAGTGTTCGAATATTACGATATTATATGTGTTAATCGTAATACGCAATGATAAATCATACGCATATTTCGAACTTCATATAAAATATGTAATAAAATGTTTCTTTTTATTCAATACAAATTTTTAAAAATCTCTTAACGCAATAACGGCATTATATCGTAGCCTATCAATAATAGGATAACAAAGATCCTTAGAAATTCAATCAAACCAATATAAAATTATGCAATTTCAGCAAATACTGAAAAAGCATTTATAAAACGCTATAACAGTTTTTTAAATAGCTAGTCGTAGATTAATTTTGATCTAAATACAGTCAATAAATTGATTTTCCTGAGCTATTATATCATATAATCTTCTTTTCTACAATGGCACAGTACTTACGGAATTCAATTAAACAGTCTTGCATCTTGATATTTATAATTGGTATATACGTAATGTTGGTGCGTCGTAAACGCGTATGTTTCTTTATTAAACAACAAATTATTTATTTGTGTGTCCACTCAGTTCTTCTTTCGCACGTATCAACTCAGACGGTTTAAAAGTACCAATTTCCGTAATTATCCCGGTAATTAAATTTGCTGGTGTCACATCAAACGCTGGATTCCAACATTTTATTCCCTCTGCTGCGATCCTCTTGTCGTTTATGTGAGTCATTTCTCGTTCTGATCGCTCCTCGATGATTATATTATCACCATTATGCATTTGGAAGTCTATGGATGTCATTGGTGCAGCCACGTAGAAAGGGACATTGTGATACTTGGCGAGAACCGCAATCTGTAATCAATACAGATAGCTATATAAGTACATGCTGTTGTATTCAAGGTGAATGGATTATTTTTAAATTATTATTGTTCATTGCTCTATCTATCTATAACGTTTAAAGATTAAAACACTTGCCTGATAAGTCCCAATCTTGTTGGCGGTGTCACCATTCAAGGCAACTCTATCTGCACCCACGACAACCGCCGTGATCTGTTTCGTTTTCAGTACAGCGGCGACCATGTCGTCGCAAATTAAGGTCGCTGGTATCTTGTCGTGCACCAATTCGTAAGCGGTCAGACGAGCACCTTGGTTATACGGTCTAGTCTCAGTGCAATAAACATGCTCTGAAAAAGTAGATAACAATTGAGAGTTATAATCTTAATTATTCAGATGATTATCAAGATAGCGATTTCGAGAAAACAAGAGAGTTATATTTACCGAGCCTTCCCAATTCATGAAGAGATCTGATAACGCCTAAAGCTGTGCCGTATCCCGCGGTAGCGAGACTTCCGGTATTGCAGTGTGTGAGGATCCTAGTAAAATCATCTTTAGGTACATTTTGCAGAATCTCATGTGCACCAAAATCTCCAATTGATTTATTGTCTGCCACATCCTTTCGCAGCATCTCCTCTATATCATTTATAAATCTACAATTTCAAGATGCAATATAAATCATAATGTTTGGATCTTTCTTCAAAAATAAAATAAAGTCATGAGAACATACTTGTCTTTCATCTGAGATAGCATGCAAATATCACTATCGCAAAGAGAGTTTGCCAACTTTATCAATTCATTGGCTGCTGTCTTCATGTTAACGGCAGTGGGACGTGCTGATACAAGATAATTCAATTTTTTCTCGATATCCTGACAAAAAGCTGTCTTATGTTCATATTCTGGATGCTGAATAATCTCCGCAGCCAAACTGAGACAGCCTACAATAGCTATGGCTGGTGCACCTCGTACCTAAAAATTAAAAATATAATATAAATAATTCTATAAACATATATATTTTTTTATGTTAAAAATTTCAAATATATTATAATGCTATGTACTCAATTATATTTTATACAAATAACTATACAAATATATGAGACATATGATTTATCTTTGTCATCAAGCTGATGAAGTATCGCAAGTAAACAAAATTTAAGATATAAAGTGATAAATATTGAAATAAATTAAGGGAAGATATATTAATAAAAATATCTGTATCGATTATAATCAATAAAACAGAGATATAATAACATTATTTTGTCACTTTATGTATATCAATATTAAGATAACTATAATATTAGATATTCTGTATCAAACATTGCAAAACATTGTGAAAAACATTCGCAAGCTTACCTGCATTTTATGAATGACCTTCCACCCATCCTCGACATCTCTGACCTGAATATAGTGGGTTGTCGCCGGCAGTAACGTCTGATCCAGAATTTCCAGCTTGCCATCCATCTTGTTCCATTTTATCGCCTGTAGTGTCATCGCAATCAAATTATCGTAACTCGACTTTCTTGTCTTGTCACGATGCAGCAGTCTTGAATTTTGTTGAATGAACGAGCCGCAAAAACAACCGGCTCTGATCGGAGTAAAGCAAAACAAAGTAAAATTGGAGTAGGGAGTAGTCGGAGTTTGAACACGCGACACGTTCAACAATGACGCGCCATCTGGCGGACGAGATAGGGATTTAAATTACCCCCTCCCTCTTACTCGGCTCCTCACGCACGCCGACCCGCCGACGTAATCTTCGAGCGTGTTGCATAATGTTAACAAGTGAGAACAGCTGATAACGCCTAGAAGCTATTCGTCCGATTTCGTCATCTCGTTTGCCTTGAAATTCCCTGACAATTCCAAGACGTAAAAACGAAAATTAAATGCGTTCTAGGATCAGATTTGTTTCATTTTATTTAAAAACATTGTATTAAAAAAAATACAAATATTTTATTTAAAAGAAATGCAAATGGATGTTTAAATAAAAATATTTAATGTTTATTGAATTAATTTTTTTAAATAAAAATACAGTATTATATATAATAAATTGCAATTAATCTCATTCGCGCACTAATTTAAATTTGAAATTCTCTTAGAATGAGATAGTTCTTATACCTATATACAAGAAACAATTTTTAGCTCTTTAAATGTAAATATATATACTCGAAATTAATATGGAAATATATTTCAACAATATGAGTTTTGATTAATTATACATATTACGATCCTATAAATATTAAAAATAGTCTCATTTTTCATTTAAATGCATTATTTAATCTGCATCTTTCTCTTCATAAATTAATTTGCTATTTAAACAATGCATATTTATCTGACAAAATTGCATAATATTTTTAAAACTCCAATAAATTTATTTCTCATAATTTGATTTTCTTAGAATGATAGTTATTATATTATCTATACAAAAAATACATAATTTTTAGCTCTTTAAATATAAATACATAAACTCGAAATTAACAGAAATATATTTCAACAATATAAATTTTGATTAACTACATATCACGATCTTATAGACATTAAAATTGTCTATCATTTTTCATTTAAATGCATTATTTATTTTCCAGCATCTCTCTCTCTTTAGGAATTAATTTACTATTTAAAGGGTGCGTATTTTTATCTTAAAAAATTATATTTTGAAGACATCAATATAAATTTATTTCGCTCAGAAATCGATATATTTCGAAGATGAAAATAATTTTTATATCATGTATAATATTATGTCAGTTTTATATCATTATTTCGATAAAGCCAAGCAACCGTCTTTAAACGCGTTTTAAGGTTTCGATGACGACGTAAAACGTTCGTCATCTTATTCTCCTTTTTATTTTCTTTTCGCGTGTAATGCACGTAAAATGACATGAGGCTTGGTCCTCGTCGATCGTTTCACTTCCGAGTCACGTGCGCCATAAAGTCTGGCGAACGTACAGAGGATGAGGAAGAAGATGAAGAAGAGAAGCGCGCCCGTTCGATGTAAGACGGTGCGCGAAAAAGCTGCAAGCTTGAGAAAGAGCGCACGTATTTTTCAACGAAACGAGACAAGACGCACTTGTCCCGCTCTTCTGAAATCGCCCTGGCGTAATTCCATTTACTGTTTCTCACGGCGGAATTTTAAAGCGCAAATATCACGTCACGTCGACACGCGTGACAACGCGGCCTCGTGCATTATATGAAAAAAAAATGTGGTCAGCTGCAATCACGCTTTATAAAATATTCGATATGTATATGAAATAAATGTTTACATTTATATAAAGTGACAACTGAAGAGTTGGTGAAATTATTTTCGCGAACAGATGAGTAAAATTAAAAAAATCAAACTATTATAAATTATAAGAAGCCTGTCAATTATTAGCATATAATACAAAAGTTATATAAAATATTTTGATAACTGAATTTTGCTACTGTTTTTATATTCTTTTTTTAATTTAAAATTTGACTATCAAATTGTGTTTTATATCATTTGTATGCTATAAAATTAATTAACTAATAAAATTGACCAGGTTTTTTGCATTCATATGAGTTTGATTTCTTTTTTAGTTCATCCAAATAACAGTCGAATAATTTCAGCAACTTCCTTGTCAACTTTACGTGTGCGTGTAAATGTATGTATATCGATTCAGACTCCTTTGAACGATTGCACCGGCGAAACGTCAATCCTATCCATAATCAAACAATACCCACGCTTTAAAGCGTCCCCATCGTCATATCGAGACGGTGAAGTTCGATTCACGGCCCTTTGTATAACTCTGCAAAAACGACCAGATTAACAGGAATTGACAGGAATGTATTCTGCGGTATTGATCTCTTAATCTTCCGACTTCCAGATTAGTTGGAAAATATTAAAATTTACCTTGTCATTGCTTCCTTTATCTTATAAATTTGCGAAAAGCAAAGAAATTTTTTTTTTAATTAATTAACTTTTTTGCGAGGTAGAAAAAATTGTTACGAGGCAATTTTTGTTGCTTTGAGAAAAACAGAGTCGATTTCTTCAGATAGTTTTGCTACTTCAATTGCATTCGCACCTCGATTGCTCTGTATCTGTATCTTTAATTAGATATTTTGTCTAGCTCGTTAGATCTCTTTAAGAAACTCGACCGAAATAAATATAGTATACAATTTAACGCTTCTGGAATATTTTGCGAAATAATTCTGTCTCACGTTGTTGCACCAGATGTAAAATACTATCGCTTATCTCGATCTGACCTTACTGCTTTACAAACACATCGCAACGTATCGAGATAATGTAAACGAGACAAACTCATTAAGCGAGTTTCTCCTTTAATTCGTTTTTGTTTCGCGTATGAAACGGTTCTAAATTTTCGGTAAGATTTAATGTGACGGAATTTACCTTGGTGCCTCTTACCTAAGTTGACATGACGAAGACGAGACAGATGATATTAATCAGGGCATCTCTCCAAGGATATCTCCGAAGGATATTCGGGGATCTTCGGACTTGGAGGAGGAAAGCGGAAACGTAGAGAGAATATAGATGGATAATGAGCACCTGAGGATTACACAAATTCATATTCACTTTAATTAAATATATCTATGTACATTATATATATAGGTACAGCATTAGTACATTTACCATATTGATAACTGTACAACGGTAGCACTTTCAATACTGTTCACAAAAATACATCGCATATAAACGAGCAATGAGTTTATACGCAAGGTCGGCTCATGACTTGCGACAAGACAGAGCGTCAATTAATTAATTAATTAATTATTACCTCTCGCGTGCGCGCGTCGCACCCACGACTCCGCATTTTTCTTTTATGTACAAAAGATCTGTGCTCGAGGATCGCGTCGAGCCAAAGGAGGAACGTGTGCTACGAGAGAAAAAAATTTATTTATTTATTTATTTAGTATTAATTTATATATATATATATATATATATATATATATTTCGCTTTTTTTAAAGAACATTATCGACGCTGTGCCGCTGAATGCAATAGAGGCCCGAGAAGCCGTTTCAATTAAGTACCATCAAAGAGACACGAGACTGACAGATTGATATCGATATTTATATAGTTACATCGAGTGTGTGTATGTGTGTGTGGTGCAATAATTGGCGTTCGATTCTAATCGCCGTGAAGAAAATACACCGTTGGTCACCAGGTTCCAAAATGTATTGTTATCATCTATTCTATTAATTTACACAATGGATGGAAGAATATATCTTTGAATTATCTGAATAAAGAAACTAAAAGATTTTTGATTTTCGAAATAAAGAAACTCTAAATGGGCTCGAACAAGTTCACGACTTACATTTCTAAAATAGCACATCTCTCATAAATATATTTGAAATAAAATTTTAAAAATAACTCTCCTTGAACTTAATATATTTTGGAAACTGTTACCTCGGCAATCGATGAAGCTCGCTGAGCATTCTCTCTTCATTTCGAATCTCTTTCTCTCTTTCTCACTCTCTTTCACTCTTCCTCTCTCTCTTTCTCTCTTATCACATTTTAATTCGACCTTTCTCGCATACAAATTGCAACGTCTCGGTTATATTGACTATTTACAGGAGTATTTCCGCAAAAAACAACTTAAGGAACATTTGGTATCAAGAGCGATAATTCGGTCGAATGTCGGTGGTCAAGTTGCGAGAGATCGCTGCTTCGGAGCAATAGGAACTGTAGCGTTTGTTAAAAATATTACAAATAATTATTGAAAAAAACAGATGGCAATCGCGGCGACAATTTATCCTCGATCCTCGCGGAATTTCTTTGTGCAAAGCTAGATAATTCGTCATGACGATTGCAAAGATTTTACGATTCGAGGAATCGAGAGCTGAAAGCACTAAGGTCAAATTGAATCGTCTAATTAATTCTACTATAATGGCTACTATTTTTGCTGATCTATAATTGTGCCTGTAATGTAGAAACAGAATTGACGATTGAATTAATCGATTGTTAATGTTAAACATTGTTGATGCAACTGAATCGATCTTATGTACCAAAAAATTTAAGACACCCTTGTGGATGTAATGGAACTTCAGATCGAAGAATTTCATTTACTTAGAATACGCTTAGAAGTCGCTAAAATCACAGAATCGAAAAGTCGAAGATCTCTTTTTCCTCTCTCCCCTGGATATTCGTATCTCTCGTTGTCTAATTGAAGGAATAGTAAAGGAACGTGCGCAAAGACAGACGGAAGACAGAAAGCAATGCGCCGCGTCGCGATCAACTTGCTCTACTGCAGGAAGAACGTAAAAAGCCGCGTCGCATCCGGCTACAAACTCTCGCCATTCATTTGAGGAAGCCAATATTTGCCTCGCACAGTGGATCGATCGATCGGAAAGTCGCGGCAATCTGAGCAAAAATTAAATAGCCGTGCTCCGTAAGTCCCGATTTCCGCTATACCGGACCACCAACACAGAGATAAGTATCCGGGATGTTTCACAAGCAGTGCATATTCGAAGCGTATAATTCCTCTCGAAAAGAAGAAAGATTTCGAGTAAAAATGATGAGAAAAAATGTAAAGATAACTGAAACAATCACAATTAAAAGAATATTTATTACTCTCACATTAGTGAGATTTCTTAAATAAAGAATTGCCAGTGTTGGTCGCGAAATATTTATTCTTTTAATTTTTTGACTGACGATAATTAAGAATCCTGTAAATCGCAATTAAAATAAATTTAATATCAGACTCTAAATATCTAATGTGTATTTAAATCGAGCTACGCTAAGAAAATGAAAAATCGCTCCTCGTTAGAGAATAAGTATTCGCGTGCCATCGGCACGCGCTTCTTGTGACACACATCCCGTATACCCTGGTCTATCTAGCTATCTATGTATATGTATTATGTAATATACGCGTGTAAGCCTATATGAAATACCTAGCTCCATTTTGGTCGTGTGGAGGATTCCGATGGGTTCGACGTGTATGACATATCTGCGCTGATCGAGGAAACGTCACAAGTCCATTTGGACGTATCACCGAGATGACACCACTTTAGTCCCGCGACCGCATCATCCCTCTCTTCCTCCCCTTCTATTTACAATGGTACGAGAGCGTGTGTATATATATGTACGTGTGTCCCCCATTTTCATTGTGACCCCGTCGAGGCGCGAAGCGGGATGATCTCGACCCCCCAAAAAACAGCTCGGATTCCGATAATTCGCTCATGACGAAGTATATTACAAAAATCGAGCGCGCGATTGAATAAAAAAGTGTACGTCGCGCGAATTCTCCCTCGCCCTCTCTCGTTATTCGAGGACCGAGATTCGCCATCTGCGTCCCGCGCGATTTTAACTCGTTTCGATCCAATTTTTGGTCAGCCGTACGGAATTGATGTGTCGAATCGCAGCTGAACCGTTTGTCCGGAACAAATTTTCCGATAGTCCGTATCTTTATCACAACCGTAAATATTCATCATCTCGTCTCTCCCTCCTTTCACCCAAAATTCAAAAATATAATATATATATTTCCAAAAGGCATAAATACATATATAAAAAAAATATGATATAAAAGTGGGCTACAAAAAATTGAAAAAAATCTCACTACTAGAAATGCGATCGATAGAGATACGCTTGTGAAGCTATATATATGCGTGCGAATTCTTGACGAGACTAGCTCGGGGTTTAATCGAGTAAACTCTCGCTTCGCCGATATTTTAACGCTTATGTACTTCGCCAAAAATATTGAGAAGCAAATTTCTCTAACATTTACACGTAATTGCGTTATATCATAAAGGAAATTAATAAATAATAAAATCGCGCTCGCTCTCATTTTCCCTCGCTCTCCTCTTCTGTTTCCGATATTTACATCTTTTTACAACAAAGATTCGAGATTGAAGCAGCTTGTCGCGGCGACGTACATCTTTCGCGATCAGAATCGCGTCCCCGAAGAAGACTACGAGAAAAGATCATCGCGCGATCCATCTCGACTCTCTCTTTCTCTTTCACTCGCGAATATTAATTACACGTAATACGCAAATCGACATGGACGGACTGGCTGACAGGGCGAGTATCTAATTAATACACATTCAATCGGTTAAAAAATGTTACTCATTCAAATTAACGTTGCTTAAAATGGATTTGATGCATCCGCGCACAAGATACTTAATCCTTATAATTTTCACGTCATCGCGCGCGAACGATCGATATTAATTATTAAGAGAAGATGATGGCACAACTCTTTTCGACAAATTTGCAAGCCTCACATGTACACACGTTGCGATGCATGAGTTGAATAAATATTATATTTCCATTTCCCAAGAGATATCGGGCCAGTCCGTCCTTGTAAATTACATTGACCTTAAAAGTATATATATCGCGCCCCCAATATATCACATAACTTCTTTTGTGACTTGCCTTGCTATGAGTTCCTTAGGAACTCATAAAACTTAGGAACCACACGGTCAAAAATCTCTCCTCTCGACGTGAGGTTTGCTTAGGTACTTTACGAGCCTCGACAGCGATTACAACCGTTCATTACATGAAGAGTATTGGTCCAAAGAGAAATGTTCAGGAAATATTTGAAATGATCCTCATTCGAGACGTCGCTTCCTTGCGGATGACGTCCTAAAACGGGAGAGAGGATTTTTCTCAAACAACGCGACATTATTCCCAATCGCATAAAAATCGCGTGGCTCTGAACGCACATTGCAATCTTTTATATTAATGCACACGTTCCTAGTATAAATACGATAAAATCGAAGGATTTAAAATAAGCTGCGAAGCGACGAGATAAAAAAGGATTTTAAAACATTCGAAGAGTCGAAGACTGATTTGAAATACTACGGAATCTCGTCGTCATTTATTCACTTAAAATTCTCGAGCATCGCGCAAAGTTTGAGGATTCTCGATTTATCCTTTTCCCGATATCGGCGAGCACCGATAACGCAGTTATCGAACTACCTCGTGGAAGAAGAGCTCGGTGTCGTCTTGATCGAAAGTCGTCCTCTTGTTTATGCATCAGCCAGCGTTTAATACCCTGTCTGATTGGTTATACATCGCGCATACGGATAAGGTATATATGGATTCAGGCAACTCTCGATACTTTTACCGCTTTCCGAGGACTCGATACCGACGACGGATTGTCCGCATCAGCCACGGAACGCTCGAATTTTCCGCAGGACGGACACTATACACGTGGTGGGTTAACCACCGTCGAAATATATATATATACATATACGTACCTTGATGCACACGCACGTAATACTGTTATAGGACGTACAGAACGCACCTCTGTCCTCGGTCTACGATAACTGCAATGACATTAAATTGCGTTTATCGACTAATTAATTGAATCTCAATTTCCCAAATTTTCGTCAGAGTATTTCGATCCTTCATCTTCCGACTCCGATGGCTTAATTTATCATACGCGGACCTATATCATGACAGAAATATAAATACATAATATAAATAAGACAATGTAAAAAATTTTCTTCAAGCTAAAAGAATGATTCTAAAATCGTTTATAAAATTTTCTGATCGAAGCCTTGAACATGAAGAGACTGAATTAAAAAAACCCAAATTTAAAATAATAATTTTCGTTTTCGTATACCGAGGACTGGCATTTTGTAGAGTATACATATATACCTTTCTCTCATTCTCGTTCACTCACACGTAGACCGTTACGTCTGTAACGCGAATTAATTTAATTATAAGAAACGATTGTAAATTGTCGCGCGTAACGAAATAATATTACGATTAATAGGATTTTCTCTCTGTAACAATGATAATGATCGCTATCACGATAATTCGTAGTACCCTTTGAAAAATTTCTTTTTTCGGTGTTCGAAAATCACAGCGCGCATTTCAGCCTTCCATTGCATATTTAATTAGACCGTTTTAATTAGAAAGCGGTGGGTATTCGCGTGCCACCTTGCATTTTCTTGTGCATTTATGCATATTTTTGTTCTTTGCATTTTCTGAATCATCGACAAAAGTATAGAGACGATTCGATCGAAATGAATTAACGAAATAAAACTGATTTACTAATCAACGAGGATTTAACGTATGTGCAATATTTTGTGACATTTCAAGAAGCGGACCGTCAGAAACGCAAGGTATATTAATGTAGCACGTTAATTATAATCAGTACATTGTCACGATAATTACAAATCAATTTGTCAGTTTTACTTTAATTCACGAGTAATAAAGATTCGTTCTATATCATGAATAATAATTGTGCTAACAATTTTCGCCTTTCAAATATCATATCAGCTAAAAGAACCATTCTAAAATTGTCCGTAAAATGTTTTCATCGAAGTCTTAAACATGAAGATACTGAGTTACAAAAATTCAAATTTAGCAAACCGTAAAAAGAAAGAAGTACGTCATGTGGGTCTCAACACATTAAGAAATAATAATTCAAAAACTCAAGTAAAACATCGTAGAAACAAAAATTTGTCAAGTATAAAACATATATATTCTAAAATCCTAGCAAGTTTAAAAAGAGTAAAAAATTTATCAAATTTAAATAATACTAGTATATAAATGTTAAGAGCTTGCAGTTTCTCGCGGCCCGCCTCGCAGATACGAAAGGGTAACCGAGCAAGATACAGTTCTTCGCGAAAACTATTCGGAGCGTTACCGATCGATCGATTGTCCTCGCAAAATTCTGACTTCGTGCCAGCCATATCGCCTCGTCGATAGATCCCCTTGTCCTATTTATTCGCCCTACCGCCGCTTTCACGAGATGTGACGGAAGATTCGAGGGCGCGGTGATGATCGATAATCGTCCTGTCATCCTCGTCTTTCCCTCTAGAGCGGCGGCTTGTCACCGAAGACGCGATTAATCGGCAAAATAATTATCGCTAATGAGGCCATTGGTCGAACGGATTTGCTCCACGAATCAATACCAATCGCCAAAAAGTGTTGAAAGGGAAACACTTTCCGACGTCTTTCCTCTTCGTGGAAGAACGACACTTGGTCCGAGGATCCTCGAAGCTTCCGGATTCTCAAACGCTAGAATCCGATTAGAAGACGATCGTTTTAAAATTCGAAATTTCTCGAAGCCTTTGGAATTGTCTACAACAAGAATTCCTCGACCGATTTCAATTTTGGTACGCGATCACGAATCTTCGAGTCCTGAATCGCGCGCGAAACACTTGCCCCAACTTGTCCGAGTCCTCCTCTCTCGCGAACGAGTTCATCGCTTCTCCGTAAACGGATTCCGATACCCCGAGTACGACGACGGTCAGGGCAATCCAAAGCCGAAGAAGGGCGCGAACGAACGCTCGTGGAGCAGACGCGGTGGCGGAAGTGGCGGCGGCCGCTTCCTTCGCGGGGCAATCACCGTCCTCTACAAGGACGCTTTCCCGCCAAACAGCATCTCCCTGTGCTTGGTACGTATGTGCGAGCGCAGCGTGTCGATCCTGCTGTAGGTGGCCGGGCAATAGGGACACAGCGAGCGCTGTGCGGTGTGTATGTGGAAGTGGTGCCAGCGATTGGTCACTTGCTTCCCGCAGGCGCGACATCTCCACAGAGCCGGGCTGTTAAGCGACACGGCGAACATCTCGTGATAAGAGAGACCGACCGGCACGCTCGGCATCGGACCTGGAAAACCCAACAGCATCTACATGCACCATCGTAGCCGTACTCGTGAATTTAACCTGGATCCTGAGACCAGATTTCAGATCCGAAGATTTATACTATGAGTCCAGGATCCACGACAGCCTTAGATCGCTGAGCTCGCTGAGCCCGAGAGATCTTCGGGCTCTTGAAGGCTGTCGTAGTTCCCGAACTCCTTGAATTATCGGATCCTTTGACTTCGAAATACCGAGCTTTCAAAATCTGATGTAGATCCTGAAATTTTCGGTCTGCAGGATCTCTTGAGATTCTTGAACCCTTTGGTGCGGTTGATGGTCTCGTGTAGTCTCGTTTGGTGCAGTGTTCTAATGTCAGTGTCTCTGAGCGGTTTAATGAATTTGCGGATCATAGATAACGTAAAGGTTCTCTCGTAACTTTAATAATTGATACACTTACCTAGTCTTGGTGGAACGAAAGAGAATTCCGGAAAAGGAAAAATATAAGTAATTAAAGTCGACTACAATAAGACAGAATTGAGATCTTTTTAAGCGAGACCGATATAAATTTGGATATTTTTGTATCGAAATTATATATAAAATGTAGCGAATAAAATTAGTCGAGTAATTTTCAAACGCGCAAATATTAAACGAACATTACTATTTGCTTGCGCGCATTCGTCTTTTGAAGAGTTCTTCGAACGCGTGAGAAAAAACGAGAGAAACGTCACAAGGCAGGCAGTGTGTTGAAATGATCGAGTGTGTCCGGTCATGTGTGAACGGATTCACGCGCACAATTACCATTCACCATTTCTTTCACGAGCACATACATACATATTCCAGAAGCATTCCAAGATTTATACTCACGTTCTCGATGTAGCCATGGAAACACGAAGAACACGTCGAGGAAGTAAGAATAGAGCGGGCTTCTAGGCCTCCTGAGATTCTTGACTACTTCAGGATCCTTCGAGATCCTCGAATTCTGGCATTTTCAGATTCGCGAATTATATAAAAGTAAAAACGAAATCGCCGATTCGTCGAGTTCTTTTAATTTAACTTGTTCAGGATCCTTTGAAATATAGTGCTTTAGCGACATCGCGATGCGGGGAGAAGAAAAATACTTAACCGAACATTTGTCGATGTTTTATCCCGGGATTATATCCGGGATGAAACTCGGTCTCCAATGCTGGGAAACGCAGAAAGTTCACACGCTGCTCGTGTTTATGCTTTTATCGTCGTTGACGTGTTGACAAAAAAAATTTACGAGGTATCTCACGTGCACTGTACAGAGCGATCAAAAATTCGTGATTAAATATATTCTAACACGCTTGAGAGACGATATTTTTAAGATTTTACATTTATACACAAATGAAATTATGAGTAGAATAATATAATAATTAAAATAAAACTGCGAAAATGATATTTTACGCATAACGAAAAGTATTTTTTAAATAGACAGAAATACATTTTTTCATAATCTGAATTAAAAAATTGGTAAATAAATGAATCTAAACAAAATTATTCTGTGGAATTCCTTTCAACAACTGTGTGTGAAAAAATAAGTTTTTACCAATTTGCATATAAATTATCTCTTGAATATAGCTTATTAGTATTGGTCGTGAGCACTTGATGATAAACAGAATAGTTGATTAAGGTGTTGCGATGCCATCAAATATGAGTTCAATCCCTTCCCTCCCATTTCCCAAAGGTATATCGTCGTATATCAATTATCGGAATGGATCTGCGTTCGATGAAGCGTCCGATAATTCACATTACATGATAATAAAATCGAAAATCTACAAAACAGCATAATTTAGAATGACATTAATGACGACGTATACTTCCTTCGTTCGAAATTATTGTGTGATGCCAAATTCTTTATTGCGCGTCTATACAATTATATATACAACCACATATATATAAGATATCTCTTAATTGAATAGTTTCATAAAACATCTTAAAGAACCCTTGTCCAATTCCTCCTTAACTCTATATAAATTGGCCATTAGTCGTACGATCTAAACCGTACATGCGTACGCGCTAAAGCTGATTTAAATTTACTTGTTCTTGTTCGTTAAAACACGAGAGCGATCTATCTACTTAGTTCCTCGAGTTATCGAGCCTTCGTTCATTTTCATCCTCCCTTTCTGAACGTCAAAAGATAAACGATTCCGTCGCGCTTTGTTCCCACGGGAAGATGATTCATTTCATTTCAGCGGAAAGAGACTTGGAATGAGAAATAACGCAATATATATAACACGGAAAACCCTCACGAGTCCAGCCATGCCGGAAATGATCGAAGGGATTCGAAGGTACAAGTAGTAAAAATGAAGTTAAACTCTCTACCCTTTGGAAAACTCAACATAGATGCTTACATCATCGCTGTTCATTTATATTACGTAACACACTTTCTTGAATTGTCTTTGGCAATTTGACGGAAGAACACATGCATTTTCATCATATTGCACATTATCAATATAAGTTTCTTATATAATTACAAGAAGCTGCGGATCTATGGATTTTTACGTGCGTTTTACGGTCTACGTAAATCTATGAATTTGTGCTGAATTATGTACATTATTGATTTGAATTGATAATAAATGTATATATATATAGCGATGTCTCTTGAAGATTAAATAAATACTGCATCTGTTTAAAAAATTCGACGTTAATAAATATCATAATATCAAGTATATCTCTTTTAATTGGCTTAAAAAAATATAATATCCTCCGTATTCCGATTTTATTCTTTATCAAGAGAGAATTATAATTAAATTTTCATTAAAATATATATAATCAAAATGCAATAATTATAGTAATAGTATATCAACTCTCTTACATGTTAATCTACAGAGAGCCAATAACACATAATTATATATTATCTGCAGACCTGTAATTACGTAAATATCTGTCTCATAAAATAACAACAATTATCAATATTAATTACAATTGTATTCATTCAGAATTAAATTTAACGGAGATTTCATTATTTTTCTATCTAATTATATATATCCCCTGCAGAAAAATCAGTTACAAATTCTATTCTTAATATTGAATAATGTTTCTCGATTTTTACCTCTTTTTATTTCTTTCTCCTTTATCCCCCCCTTATATATTATTCAAAATAATAATCCCAATTTTACAGAAAAGAAGGCGAGAAGAGCGCCTTCATCCATCTCTTTCTTTTTCCTTGATCCGTCTTTAAATTCTGTCATCCGGAAAAGCATCCTTTGCAGCTAATTCTCGCTCTCGCGAATAACAAGTTGGGCAGAAAATTTAAAAACGCGTGTTCGTGTAAATACAGCAAATTCGATATTCTAAGATTCAGTTCATTAGACATCTTCCGTTGTCGGCGAAAAAAAGGAGCGAAAAGATAGAAAAAAGGAATGCGGCGAGATGGATAGAGATGAAGGCTAATATTTACACGATGGAATCACACGGTCTTTACGATCATTCAAATACGTCTGAAGAAATCTTTAAGCAGTGCTAAATGCAATGTGTGTATATGTATCAATTATCGATCGCTCCAAAGGGAGCGAGCGCCTTGTTGCCTATGCAACCTGAAATTCCACAAAGCAATCCTAATGAAGCAGTTTGCCTCTTCCAACAAGTGAAATCAGTTCTCCTAATTACTCCTGATTCTCTACTGATACTGAAATCCACACTTCTACATCCCTCGATTAACGAATCAATATTTCATGCCCGATCATCTTAATTATCCTCTCAGACACTAAGATTCCTTCATATTCTCGAATCCTCTTTCATAATATACATATATACATAATCTTATTCATCTAATGACGACCCATGAACGAATGACAAAGTGCCTTTGTCAACAAAGTAGGAGCAGGACGCGGCGGTAGAGGAAGAAGAGGCTGAAGAAGCGATCTCTCGCTAGATCCGCAGCTTAAAGTACGCGGCGCGATATTGCGTGCGCTATTGCGCGTAGACGCGCGCGTGTTTGGTACGCGTGTGCGTGAGCAGGGTGTCGCTGCGCGTGTACACCGCTGGGCAGAGCGGGCAAGCGTACTTGCCGGGAAAATGCACGTAATAATGATTGCGCACGTTCGTCACGACCTTACCGCACAACGAGCACCGCCTCCTCTCGTCGCTGTTACTCTGTCTCTCAAATATCTGTGATATCCGCCAATTTTTCAGCTCTGCAACAACAGAAAAGCAGCTCGTATTAACCCGACCCTCTTCCTCGACGCGCGCGCAGCGTGTCATCGCCTCTATTTCCGACTCTGTTTATTTTTTCTCTGCCCTTTCTCGTTTTTTTTTTTCATTTCCCGCCAATTTTTTCCCCTTCATGATTGGATTCTTAGATTGAAGATTTGTCATTTATTATGTTCCTTTTACTTAATCCATCTCTCCCGTTGGCGTGTGGCGTGTGCGCATAAGGATACGTGACAATCTTGGAGCGAACCCTTGGATTGTGTGTACGACGTCGACACACTGATAAACACGACGTGCGGTTTGTGGTGAGATCAAACTACGCGTTCGAGGGGCAATGAGATCAAAGGATATAGGAATAATCGATATCCAGCGAAGCGAAAATTTCACATATTGGAAGATTCCAGCACGCTAAAGATCTCGAGGAAGACTACCAAATGATCTTTCAGAATTCTCAAACATCTAAGACTAAAAATACACTCTTCGATCATCCGAAGATACTCGAAAAAGAGCAAACACGTCGTCGAAAATCGCGAATCTGTAAAAAAAAAAAAAAAATAAAAAAGCAATCTGTATAGAACCTGCAGAACAGAAAGACGACAGTCACGATTTTCTGCTCTGGATTGAGATCCACATCCTTAAAGCTTCAGGTCCCGAGAAGCGACACGTTCTTGAAGATTCGTACTGGCGTAAAAATCTTCAAGAACGTCGCGTCGAGGATCGTAACTGCGACATGAATCTCAGGAGCAGCGTAAAAATCCGCAGTCTCTCGTATAAATGTAAAAGGAAAAGGGCGAGGTCGCGGAAAACATATATTCCCGGTATGTATCGCAAGCGCGAAAACGCGCCACACATACA